CGGGTGCACACGGGGGAGCGGCCCTACACCTGCGGCACCTGCGGCAAGAGCTTCACCCACTCCTCCAACCTGCACCTGCACCGCCGCACCCACTCGGCCGCACGGCCCTTCCGCTGCCCCGCCTGCCCCAAGGCCTTCGTGGTGGCCGCCTACCTGCAGCGCCACCTGCGCACCCACCGTGCGCCTGAGCCGCACCCCCCGGCCTGTCTGCTGCTGCGGGGGGGGCCGCCCCTCCCGCCCGCCACCCCCCGCAAGGTACTACTGCTACCTGGCCCCACCAAGCCTGCCCAGGTGGCGCAGGTGGGGAAGGGGCCGCACGCCTGGCAGGGCGTCCTGGTGGTGCCCCCTGGGGCGGGACAGGAGGGGGCGGGGACGAGTGTGATTGTGCTGAGGGGTGGGATGGGGCCTGCAGGTGTGCAGGTACAGGTGGCTGAGGCGGCAGGGATGGCGACAGGTGTGACAGGTGTGGCAGGGGTCACAGGTGTGACGGGTGGGGCAGGCATGGCAGGTGTACAACTCCTCCAGGCCACCGAGGTGACAGGTGTGGCAGGGGTCACAGGTGCTCCAGGTGTATCAGGGGTCACAGGTGTGGCAGGTGGGACAGGTGTGGCAGGTGTTACAGGTGTTCCAAGTGTGCAACTCCAGGTGTTGCCGGAGGTCACCAATGTCCAGGTGCGGGGGGGGGAGGGGACAGGTGTGACAGGTGTGGCAGGTGTGACCCGGGTAACAGGTGTCAAAAGTGTGCCAGGTGTGCCAGGTGTGCAGCTCCAGGCCACTGAGGTGACAGGTGTGGCAGGGGTGCCAGGTGTCACGGGTGTGCCAGGTGTGCAGCTCCAGGTGTTGCCGGAGGTCACCAATGTCCAGGTGCAGGGCAGGGAGGTAACAGGTGTGACAGAGGGGGCAGGGGTGACAAGTGTCCTAGGTGTCCCAGCTATTACTGGTGTGACGGGTGTCACAGGTGTGACAGGTGTTGCAGGTGTCACAGGGGTGCAGCTCCAGGCCACCGAGGTGACAGGGGTGACAGGTATGACAGGAATGACAGGGGTGACAGGTATGACAGGGGTGACAGGGGTGACAGGTGTGACAGGAGTGACAGGTGTCACAGGTGTCACAAGTGTGACAGGGGTGCCAGGTGTCACAGGGCTGCAGCTCCAGGTGCTGCCAGCGCCCTCCGAGGTTAGCAAAGTCCAGCTCCAGGTGTTGCCATCACCACCTGAGGTCACCAATGTCCAGCTCCAAGCGCTGCCACCACCCTCAGGTGTCACCAGAGTGCAGCTCCAGGTGCTGCCACCACCACCTGAGGTCACCAAAGTCCGGCTCCAGGTGCTGCCACCACCCCTGGATGTCACCTGTGTCCAGCTCCCAGCAGGTGAGGTGGCCAATGTCCAGCTCCAGGTGTTGCCACCGCCCCCTGAGGTGACCAATGTCCAGCTCCAGGCGCAGCCACCACCCTCAGGTGTCACCTGTGTTCAGCTCCAAGCAGGTGAGGTGGCCAATGTCCAGCTCCAGGTGCTGCCACCACCACCTGAGATGACCAATGTCCATCTCCAGGCCGCTGAGGTGACCAAAGTCCAGCTCCAAGCGATACCACCGCCCTCCCAGGTGACCAATGTCCAGCTCCAGGTGCTGCCACCGCCACCTGAGGTGACCAGTGTCCATCTGGAGACCATGGAGGAGGTGCCCACTGCCCACTTGGAAACCTTGGACGTGCCCCCTGTGCACCTGGAGACCTCAGAGGTGCCCAGTGCCCACCTGGAGACTTTGGAGGTGCCCCCTGTGGCCCTGGAACTCGGCACGGAGGTGCCCAGTGCCCACCTGGAGATGATGGAGGTGCCCCACGCCCACCTGGAAACCTTGGAGGTGCCCAGTGCTCACCTGGAGACATCAGAGATGCCCAATGGCCACCTGGAGACCCCCAAGGAAGTGCCCAGTGCCCACCTGGAAACCTTGGAGGTGCCCTCTGTGCACCTGGAGACACCAGAGGTGCCCAGTGCCCACCTGGAACCCCCCGAGGAGGTGACAAATGTCCACCTGGAGACCTTGGAGGTGCCCAGTGCCCACCTGGGACCCCCTGAGGAGGTGCCCAGTGCCCACCTGGAGACCTCAGAGGTGCCCAATGCCCACCTGGAGGTGATGGAGGTGCCCAGTGCCCACCTGGAGCCCACGGAGGAGGTGACAAATGTCCACCTGGAGACTTTGGAGGTGCCCAGTGCCCACCTGGAACCCCCTGAGGAGGTGCCCAGTGCCCACCTGGAAACCTTGGAGGTGCTGGGGGGAGCATCTGCCTACCTGTGCCTGCAGGTGAGGGGGCACCTCGGGGGGCAGTGCCCCAGGTGAGGGGGTATGTGAGGGTACCTGGCGGGGGGAGGGGTGTTACCTGTGTCCCCTTGTCAATAAAGGTGCCCCTCCCCCCCCCAGTGTGTCTCATCCTTAGGGGTGGGGCCTTGAGGAGGCGTGGTCATGTTGGGGGCGTGGCCATGGGCTCCATAGGGGTCATGGGACGTGACCAGTATGGTCCCAGTATCCCCCAGTACAACCCAACTGGCCCCAGTATGGCCCCACTGAGTCCCAATATGGCTCCAGTATCGCCCCAGTACAGCCCAACTGACTCCCAGTATGGCCCCAGTAAAGCCCAGCTGACTCCCAGTATGGCCCAACTTACCACCAGTATCCCCCCAGTATGGCCCCACTCCCTCCCAGCCCCCTCCCAGTGCCCCCCAGTGGATTGAAACCCCCTCCCAGTCCATTCCAGTGCCTCCCAGTATATCCCAGTCCCTTCCCAGTGCACTCAAACTCCAAGTCCCTCCAGGCCCCCCTCCCAGTGTCTCCCAGTCCCTTCCCAGTACACTGAAACTCCCTCCCAGTCTCTCCCAGTATATCTCACTCCCTTTCCATTGCACTGAAACTCCCTCCCAGTCCATCCCAGTTCCTCCCAGTATATCCCAGTCCCTCCCAACCCCTTCCCAGTCACTCTCCTCCCCCTCCCAGTGCCCCCCAGTCCCTCCCCTCCCCCTGCGGTGTCCCCTTCCCTCCCCCTCCCCACCTGTCGGTGTCACCTGTCGGGGCCGTGACCCCGCGGGGGCTCATTAATCCCTTCCTCCCCCCGCGGGTAATTAATACCCCCTGCCGAGGGCGATTAATCATTCCCGGGGGCTCATTAATCACCCGCCGAGGGCAATTAATCATCCCCTGCTGGTAATTAACCCCCGGCAGCTCGTTAGTGAACAGCTGCTCCCGGGGGGGGTCACGACCCCCCAAATTCCCCCCCGGCAACACCTGGCCCGGCCCCGGCACCTCCCAGTACAGCCCAGTACAGCCCAGTACAGCCCAGTACAGCCCAGTGCACTGAAACCCCTTCCCAGTGCCCCCCAGTCCCTCCCAGTCCCTCCCAGTGTCCCCAAATCCGTTTTCAGCGCCCCCTAGTTCCCCCCAGTCCATCCCAGTCTCTTCCCAGTGCACTGAACTCCCTCCCAGTACCTGCCAGTACCTCCCAGTTTCTCCCAGTGCCTCCCAGTGCCCTGAGCCCCCGCTGTGTCCCCTCGGGGTGGGGGAGGGTCTGGCGGGGGGCCCGGGGTGGGGAAGGGCAGGGACAGGTGCGGGGGGACCCGAAATAGCCGGGGGGGGGGGGACAGGGCCAGGTGGCACCGGTGGCACCAGTGGCACCGTCACCAGGGGCACTGGGAGGGACTGGGGGGCACTGGGATATAGTGGGAGAGACTGGAAGATACTGGGGTATACTGGGATATACTGGGAGGCACTGGGGGGGAGTTTCAGTGCACTGGGGGGCACTGGTGACACTGGGGGGGGGGGGGCACTGGGGGACTGGAGACACTGGAGACACTGTCCCCCAACCTGTCCCTCTGTCTCCTCCTTGTCCCTTTGTCCCCCCATGGCCCCCCGTGTCCCCTCGATGTCCCCCCATGGCCCCCAAGCCCCCCCCATGTCCCCATGACACCCATGTCACCCCCGTGTCCCCTCCAGGTCCCCCTTGTCCCTCTGTCCCCTCTGTCCCCCCCATGTCCCCCCTTGTCCCCCTCATGTCCTCCATGTCCCCGTGCCCCCTCTGTCGCCCCCCCTTGTCCCAGTGTCCCTCTGTCCCCCCCCCCCGTGCCCATCTTTGGCCGTGGGTGACACACACGTGTCCCCACACGCAGGTGACAGAGATTAGCGGGGCCCGGGTGGCACCGCGGGCACGGGAAACTCTGAGTCACAACCGCAGGGGCCGCCGAGGGGGCACCTGGGGGGGGGCACCTGGGGGGGCACCTGGGGGGGCACTGACACCCCCTGACCCACTGGGGGACACAGGTGAGACACCGGGGCCACCCCTGGGGACACCGGCAGGAGGGGTGGCACCGGGGGGGGGCAGGGGGGCGGAGGGGGCGGGGACAGGTGGGTTGGGGGGACAGGTGGTACCTGAGGGCAGGTGATGGGGGGGAGACCTGGATGTTGGGCAGGACTGGGATGGGCTGAATTGTACTGGGATGGATTGGGGTGGACTGGGGTGAACTGGAATGGACTGGGTTATACTGGGATGGAGTGGGATGGACTGGAATGGACTGGGTTATATGGAGATGGACTGGGATGAGCTGGGCTGTACTGTGTTGAACTGGGTTATACTGGGCTGGACTGGGTTGAATTGGGCTATACTGGGCTAGACTGGGTTCAACTGGGTTATACTGGACTGAACTGGGTTCGACTGGGACAGACTGGAATGGAATGATCTGAGCTGGGCTGATATCGACTGTACTGGTCTGTACTGGTCTATAGTGGGCTGCCCCAGAGGAGGAGGAGGGGGATGAAGATGAAGGTGAGGAGGATGAGGATTAAACTGGGCTGGGCTGTATTGGAGTGAACTGGTCCATACTGGTCCATACTGGTCCCCAGGGCCCATGGAAGCAGCGGCCGAGGAGGAAGAGGAGGAGGAGGAGGAGGAGGGGGAGGCCCAGGAGAGGCTCCTGCAGCACCTGATGGTTCAAACAGGGCGGGACCTCCCCCAGTGCCAACTGGAGCGGGACTGGGACGTACTGGGAGAACTGGGCAGTGGCTCCTATGGGCACGTGGTGCTGGCACAGCCCCGGGATGGGGGTGAGGGGCTGGGGGGGTACCGGGAGGGCTTGGGGGGGCTCAGGGAGGGGGGATTTCTGGGTACCTGTGCACCAGGTGAGCACCTGACACACTGACACACTTCAGGCTCTGCCCCCAAACACACCTGGGAGATCCAAGGGGCTCGGAGGTGGTCTATGGGGTGGGGTAACCTGTCCCCAGGTGTGCCCAGGTGCCCCCAGGTGTGCCCAGGTGTGTCTATAAGAGGTATAACCCATCCTCAGGTGTGCCTAGGTGTGTCTATGAGGGTATAACCCATCCCCAGGTGTGCCCAGGTGTGTCTCTGGGGGTATAACCCATCTCCAGGTGTGCCCAGGTGTGTCCCCACCCTTGCCCAGGTGCGCCGGTGGTGCTGAAGCTGCTGCGGAAGGACCGGACGGGCAGGTGGGGCTTCCTGCGGGAGTTCTGCACCCACCTGTGCCTGCGGGGGCAGCTCACCTGCCTGCAGGTGCTGCCCCTGGCCTTCGAGACCCCCACCCACTTCGGCTTCGCGCAGGAACACGCACCTGCCGGGGACCTGTGTGGGCTGCTCACACCTGGGGTGAGTGCTCAGATGTGTCTGGAGTGGGCACAGGTGTGTTTGGGGGGGGGACAGGTGTGAGGGATGCACCTGCCTGGGACCTTTGTGGGCTCCCCGAGCACAAGGTGAACCCCTGCACTCATAGGTGACCCCACAGGTGATCCAAGGTGACACTAGGTGACCCCAGGTGTGTCCCCCCCTCCCCAGGTGAGTCTCCCTGAGTCCCAGGTGAACCCCTGCACTCACAGGTGACCCCACAGGTGCCCCAAATGATGACTCCAGGTGACCATAGGTGACCTCAGGTGACCCCAGGTGACATTGGGTGACCCTGTGTCCCACCAGGCGTGTCCTCCCCTCCTCAGGTGGGCCTTCCTGAGCCGCAGGTGAAGCGCGTGGCCACCCAGGTGGGCGCGGCCCTGGATTACCTGCACGGCCACGCCCTGGTGCACCGAGACGTGAAGCTGGACAACGTGCTGGCCTTCGACCCCCAGTGCCAACTGGTCAAACTGGGCGACTTCGGCCTCACCCGTGTCATGGGCTGGCAGGTGGGGCCCACCTGTGGCTCGGGCCACGCCCCCTACGCCGCACCTGAGCTGTGCCACCTGCGCGAGGCGGAGACGCTGCACCTGGAGCCCAGCCTGGACGCCTGGGCCTTCGGCGTCCTCCTCTTCGCCCTCCTCACCGGCACCTTCCCCTGGGGGGTGGCTGCGCCCCCGGATCCCCAGTTCGGGGAGTTCCAGGTGTGGCAGGGCCGCACCTGGCAGCCAGGTGGGCTCACCGGCGGGGGGGAGGTGCCGCGCGCCTGGCAGGGGTTGGGGGAGGCGGCGCTGGAGATGCTCCGGAGGCTCCTCCGGCTGGAGCCCGACAGGCGAAGCCACGCCGGGGAGGTGAACAGGTACCTGGACAGGTGCTGGGGAGGGCAGGCGGGGAGGCCTGAGGGGGGTGGGAGCGGGGCAGGCACACCTGGGGATGGGTCAGACACACCTGAGGATGGATTCAACACACCTGCGGATGGGTCGGACACACCTGCATGTGGGAGAGAAGCACCTGGAGATGGGCTGGACACACCTGAGGATGAGTTAGAAGTACCTGGGAGTGGGTCAGAGACAGCTGGAGATGGGATAGACGCACCTGGATATGGGTCAGACACAGCTGGGGATGGATCAGACATACCTGGATATGGGTCAGACAGACCTGAGGATGGATCAGACACACCTGGATATGGGTCAGACACAGCTGGGGATGGATCAGACACACCTGGATATGGGTCAGACGCTCCTGGAAATGGGATAGACACAGCTGGGGATGGGACTGAAACACCTGAGAATGAGTTGGACACACCTGGATATGGGTCTGGAGATGGGTCTGACTCACCTGGCAATGAACTGGAAGCACCTGGGGATGGGATAGAAACACCTGGAGATTGGTCAGACACACCTGCATATGGGTCAGAAACATCTGGAAATGGGTCTGGAACACCTGGAAGTGGGTTGGAAGAACCTGGGAGTGAGTTGGACACACCCGGGAATGGGACAGAAATACCCGAACATGGGCTGGAAACACCTGGAATGGGCTGGAAACACCTGGAAATGGGATAAAAGTACCTGGAAGTGGGAATGAAACACTTGGGAATGGGTTGGAAATACCTGGGAATGGGATGAAACCTCTTGGAAGTGGGATAAAAACATCTGGAAATGGGTCCAAACCACTTGGAAATGGGCTGGGAATATCTGGGAATGGGATGGAACTCCTGGAAGTGGGATAGAAATGTCTGGAAATGGGATGGGAACACTTGGGAATGGAATGGAAGCACCTGGAAATGAGCTGGGAATACCTGGGGACCCCCCCAAAAGGGGAGTTGAATAAAATTCCCTGGTTTTTGCCTTTTTTTAACCTGTTTTTACCTGTTTGGGGCTCTTGGGGGGAAAAAGGTGGGAAGAGGGTGGGAAAAAGGGGAAAAGGGAGGAAAAATGATGGAGAAAGGGTGGGAGAAGGCTGGAAAATGATTTAAAAAGGGTGAGAAAAGGATGAAAAAGGATGGAAAAAATGATGTAAAAGGAGGGAAAAGGGACGGGATTTGCTGCAGATCCCCCGAAAAACGAACCTTAATCGCAAGAGGGCGGTTTTGGGAAACCCCCCCAAAAACGTGGGAAGCGACGAGGGTGGGATTCGAACCCACGCGTGCAGAGCACAATGGATTAGCAGTCCATCGCCTTAACCACTCGGCCACCTCGTCCGCGGCTGCGCACTCGCGCCCCGCGCCCATCTCGCTGCTAGAGGGGCGTGGCTTCAGCGAAAGGGGCGTGAACAGGGGCGCGGTCTCCTATCAGAGGGCGTGCTGTGGGCGTGGTTTATCCACCCCGGAAATCGGGGTTCGAATCCCGGGGGAGCCAACTCGGGGAAACGGGGAGTGTTTTAAATACATTTTAAAAAATGAATAAACACATGAAATGAATAAATTAAATAAACAAATTAAAAGAATAACATAAGTAAATAAAAATAAATAAATAAAAGGAATAAAGAGGTTAAACAAATAAATTAAATTAATTAAATTAAATGAATAAATTAAATTAATTAATTAGATAAATTTGAATGAAAATTTAGATAAAAGAAAAAGATAATAAATAAATAAATTAATTAAGTGGTTAAATCAATCAATCAATCTATATATGTACATGTATAATAACATGCGATAAATTGTGTATTTATTTTAAACTGCTCTCACTTTCTGCCTCGCTTTAAGTAATTATAATTCATTAAAAGTAATTAGAAGGTAGCTTTGCAGCAGCAGAGTGGCGCAGCGGGAGCGTGCTGGGCCCATAACCCAGAGGTCGATGGATCGAAACCATCCTCTGCTAAGTCCGTTTTTTCCTCTCCCTGATTTCCTTCTTTCCTCCCCTAATTTTCAATTTTTTATTTTTTTCCCCCCTATTTTTTCCTAACGTCCCTTTTTTCCCTCTTTAATTTTCCTCATTGTCCTCCCTCCCCATTTCCTCCCCTTTTCTGGGGTTGTAAAGGGGTTTTTTGGGGGCTTCTCCACCCTCGGGCAGGTACCGGGACAAGGATGGGAGTGGGAAAAGGGTTTTTTGGGAAGGGTTTCCCTCCTCAGGGGGTTCCGGGACACGTGTGTGTGTATGTGGGGATTTTGGGGGTCTCCCTTCTCGGGGATCCCGAATCTCGCGGGGGGAAGAGGAGGGGAGGGGTCAGGGGGTCTGATGGTCTCTGATGTGGGACTGGGCAGCGCCGGCGCCGTGGCTTAGTTGGTTAAAGCGCCTGTCTAGTAAACAGGAGATCCTGGGTTCGAATCCCAGCGGTGCCTCCGCCTGTGTCGCGACAGACAGCATTGGCTTTTAACCTCCTCCCCCTTTTTTCTATGTGTTTTTATGGGCTTTTATGTATTTTTATTTTTTTTTATGGATTTTAGGGTATTTTAATGTATTTTTTCTGGAGGCTTTATGGAGGTTTTATGTATTTTCATGGCTTTTTAATGCACTTTTATGTTTTAATGCATTTAAATATTTTTATTATAAATAATAATATATTACAAATCCTTTAGCAATATTACAAATACTATAAATATTTCCTTAATATTATAGTATAACATATCTTTTTAATGTATTTTTATGTTATACGTTATATCATCACCATCGTGGCTGGGCTTCGCGAACGAAGATCTGGGAAAGGCTCTATCCACATTTGTTACATGCACGATGCTGGCTAATGAGGCCACTAAGAGATAGACATTATATAGTATATCATGTATATTATATATACTCTGCATCATATTTATTTTAAAAATCTATTAATTATTAGAGTAAAGGAGTTTGGCGAGTGAGGAAAGAGGAAGAGGGAAAAATGGAAATTAGAAGGAGGAAAAACTGAACGAAAATTACCGTCTTTGTTCCCTGACCGGGAATCGAACCCGGGCCGCGGCGGTGAGAGCGCCGAATCCTAACCACTAGACCACCAGGGAACGCTGGAAAAACTAAAGCACCTGGACTCCCCTGACACAATTCAGAGACCCCCTGAGGGAGGAGAGACCCCCAAACATTCCCTCAGATGAGTCCCGGGACCTCCGGAGGGAGGAGATCCCCAAATCCCCCTTCTCGTGTGTCTCGAAACCCCCCACGGGGCGAGACCTATGGGGGGGGTCTATTGGGGGTCTCTGGGTGTCTATAGGGGGTGTATGAGGGGCTCTGCGGGGGTCTCTGAGGGGTCTCTGGGGGGTCTCCGGGGTCCTAATGAGGGGGATCCCCCGCCCCCTCCTCGTGTCTCCGCGCGCCCCCGTCGACCCCGCTCGGGCATCTTCGGTCACCTTCGGGACCGGTTCGGCTCCGCTCGGGGACCTTCGGGGACGTTCGGAAACCTTCGGGCCGGTCCGGCTCCGTTCGGCTCCGTTCGTCCCAGTTCGGCTCCGCTCGGCTCCGTTCGGCTCCGGTTCGGCACCGTTCGTCCC